GAGAGGTTAGGCCCAAAATCAATTGTTAACAAGAGTTAAAAAAAATGCATAAAGAAAATAAAAAATGCGATACACAAACCTAAACTTAAAAACATGTTATCTTTTTTTTTTTTTTTATCTTTTTGTTTTTCAAGCATAAAGTAAAGTTAAAAAATACTAAAAATCATTTTTTTTTGTTTTAAGCATAAAATAAAGAAAAAAAACAAAAATAAAAATACTACACACAAACCTAAACTTACAAGATTTTTTATCTTTTTATCTTTTTCTTCTATTTTTTTTTTTTTTAAATATAAAACAAATTAAAAAATACTAAAAATATATATAGAGAGAGAGACTTTTTAGAGATAAAAAGAGAAACTGATTTTCAAATATACGAGTATAAAACCCATCATTTTAAAAAATCAATATTTTAGAAACAGAGAAGCATACTCACACAGATACCATGCTATTTTTGAGCAAAAGACACAACAACATTTTTAGAGAAGACACACAACCCAAATGAATTAGTGAAGACTCAAACATTATTTGTCAACATTTAACATTCCCAACTCACTGATCAAAAAATTAAAACGAGATTCATCAAGAGGCTTGGTAAACAAGTCATCGAGTTGATAGTCTGTAGGGATAAAATGAAGTTCAACATCACCTTTCATCACATGRTCTCTGATAAAGTGATATCGAATATCAATATGCTTCGTACGAGAGTGAAGAACGGGATTGTTGGCAATAGCAATGGCACTTGAATTGTCATAGAAAATAGGAATTTCTGTGAACACTTGGTCGTAATCAGCTAACTGATTTTTCATCCATAAGACTTGTGCATAACAGCTTCCTGCAGCAACATACTCAGCTTCAGCTGTTGAGGTGGACACGGAGTGTTGTTTCTTGCTAGTCCAACTGACTAACTTTACACCCAACAACTAACAGCTACCAGTTGTACTATTTCTATCAACTTTACAGCCTGCATAATCAGAATCTGAAAAACCTGTTAGATCAAAACCTGAGTCTTTGGGATACCAAAGACCCAGATTGGGAGTACCYTTCAGGTACCTGAAAATGCGTTTAACGGCTGCCAAGTGAGATTCCTTTGGATTCGCTTGGTATCTTGCACAAAGACATGTGGAGAACATGATATCCGGTCGGCTAGCAGTAAGATATAGCATGCACTACCAAACACATGAAGGAAGCTAATGTTTGGTTTTCTGCCATGAAATACTTCATAAGCAGTCTTATTGTGTCTTTTCACAATTAGAGACCTATTTTGAGTAAAGCATGCTGTATTGACAGCTTCACCCCAAAAATAGGTCGGAAGATTTGCTTCACTTAGCATTGAACGTGCAGCTTCACATAGTGTACGATTTCTCCTTTCAACAACTCCATTATGCTGTGGAGTCCGAACTGCTGAGAAATTTTGAGAAATACCCTTGTCATYAAAGAAGCTTTCAAGAACACTGTTTTTGAATTCAGTGTCGTTGTCACTTCGAATTAATCTGACAAGTTGACCATTCAAGACTTCAGTCCGCTTCACAAAGTTGATAATTTCTTCAGCTGCATCACTCTTGTGTTGGAGAAAGAAGACCCAAGTATATCTTGAATACTCATCCACAATAACAAGAGTATAAYGTTTTCCACCCAGACTTTGAACACTCACAGGACCACAGAGATCCATGTGGAGCATGTGCAAAGGAGTGGAAATAGAAGAGCACATCTTG